GGAAAAGTTAAGTGAAAAGTCAGAAAGCCCATAGGAAGCAAATTATATACTGAATTCAGAACTTTTAGTTCCTGTCACTACTCTTTCTCCCCTGCCTTAACTCTGGCTCTTGCTCAAATGGGACATGGTTGGAGGTGGCACCATCCTCATCTCCTAAGGTAGAGGAATTTTAGATACCTGTGAGCAGGTATAAAGAGCATTTTACTCGATCAGATCCTGCCAAACATACCTAGCTATGTCAGACCTAAATGTGTAAAGGAAGCACACAGTTTAATGAGTAATTCTTAAACAGTACTTAGGAGTTTCTCACACTTCAGTTTCTGATGCTTTGTGGAGCCAAACTAAAACATTTTAGCTCAGAGTACTTTTGTTGTGCATTGGATTTGGCTGTACCATGATTATCAGCATTTAAGCTACTCTTGCAAATCAAAATGCCTGTGGTGCAGTCTTTTTCAAATATTCATATGCATCACGATTTGAGAGCTCATTAAACGTAGTTTGCTGGACTCCACCCCCAGAGATTCTGATTCAGTACATCCTGGGTGGAGCCTGACATTTGCATTTCTATCAAACCCCTGAGTGAAGCTGATGCTGTTGTCCAGGAATTGTTGGAGAAACATTTCAGAAGCATGGTTGGAGAGTCCCATTAGAGAGCTTGGTGAGTGAAGCACCCTTCACTGCACTGGGCACACAGCAGCCAGCCAGCCAGCCCAGGGGACAGGAGCACTGGCAAGGTGGCTAGGGAATGCACTGGATTCAATTATACTCTGGAATTTGAATCTCAATAATTGAATCCTTGGGTCAGGGATATAGCTCTGCGGCACAGCACCTATCTGGAAAGCTCAAGGTCCTGAGTTCAAATTCCAGTGCCAAAAAATAAAATAAAATAATTGAATCCCAATCTTAGTAACTGACTCTCCATCTTAATAATGGAGAAATAAATCAATGATTTTTCAAACTGAAATAAAACTTTGGATGTATTGACCCAATAAAATATGTAATAAATTGAATTTATTAATGTGGCTACTAGAAAAATTTTAAGTACATATGTTGCTCACGTTCTACTGTTTGGACAGCACTAACCTAAAAAGTCAAAATGTAGAGAATGGTAGAGATTGCAGAAGAATCAAATCTCCAAGTCTTTAAATACTTTCAGGGAAAGAAAATTATCAGCTTGTCAGATTTGGCCTAAGGGCCCCAGTTCATACCCAAACACTAGCTACCTACCAGAAGTGTACTAAATGTAGAACCTATATAACCTGTGCTATTTTACTTTTTTCTGACATGAATCAAGTGCCTCAGTATAATCCTTAAAGACATTAGAGTACGATGGTGAAAAATATTAATGAATATAAAAAACGTCATTACTCTTTTTTTAAAACCTGAGCTATTACATCCATTTCTCTTACCCTTGACTACAACATGATTATGTTTCTCAATGTGTTTTTATATCTTCCACTTTTTAACTGTCAGTGATGAGACAGAAATGAGGATAGATGTTGGTATTTCCCATTCTAAATATTTTGCAATATTTGAAGAGTGCAGTAAGGGATTGGAGGCGGTATGGCTGGTCAGTGGCAGAGCCGATTCCACCAGGACTGCAGTCGAGTACTTCCCTGCGAGACCCTTCTGCTGTGCTTCAACTTTCACAATTTGAATGTTAAAGAAAGTAAGAAAGAAACTATGATAGATGCAAGGCTGGGACTTAAAAAAGAATTATAACTATGTAAAATCACACACACAAAAATTTTACAGAGTTCTTTTGCTTCGGATGGAAGTCCCTTAATTCTTCAAAATGTTGACCAAGCATACTTCAAATACTAACTGATGCCTTTCTGTGAGGGAACACTGAGTGCTCTCCCACCTATGTGTTTTCATCTGACCAAACCACACTCACAAGTTAGCTAACCTCTGACAAACTGTATTTTCCCACAAACCATCTGAGACTAGGTTCATTTTGTACAAGTGGTTTTTCTAATGCCACATTGCGCCTCACATTTCCTAGGACTTTGTAATATTGACCCCCTGACTACAAGGCATGCTTTTTACTTTTTTCTTCAACCTTTAATCAACCTGCCTGTACCATTTCATCTTGTAGGAAATGGTAAGTAAACAGGGAATCCCAAGTGGCCCGCAAGGATTCTCTATCAAATGCAGCAAAACAAGCTAGTCCAGAAAGGAACCAAAATCTTCACCTCGATTTTGGTATTGTCAAGCCACAACCAGTGTGCATCAGAAACATTTTTTTTGAGGTTTGAAAATAAAGGGAAAAATCTGTAACCTTAATAGTCTTATACGGAGTTTCTTTAATCATTTTGATGAAGAGCAAAAGTCTTCATTTTGTTAATCATTTTTAGTGAAAGATAAAACTCATTTCATTTTGTTTTTAGTACAGGGATCTTATGGGTTTTTGTTTTGTTTTGGTTTGATTTGCTTGGTTTGATTTTTTTTTAGTCACTATGTAGTTCAGGCTGGTTTTGACCTCACCATATAGCTCCTATGGCCTCAGATTCATTCCAATCTTTCTATAGGTGCTGGGGCAGAGTTCTCTTTTAACATAGACTACTATTAAATTAGTGTAGTACAAAAAGTCAGAGAAAGTAACTATAAGTAGACAACTGATTTTATGATATATCACAGGTCATTTCTACTTTTCAAGTCAAATTGTTCTTGTCTATAAATGACACATGTATGTTCAGAAGAAAGATTTGAAACTCTAGCACTTCTAGAGAATTTTTGAAGTGTGTAATCAATTCTCTAGAAGATACAGAAGTCTGAAGGAGCAAAGTGACTGGTTCAAGTACTCCCAACCTTGAACTCCAAAAGTAGAACTCTAGTTTCCCTCCATATTGTCTAGTGCTCATTAGCAGAAAAATATGTCTGTAGAAGGGCTAGGCAGATAGCCCAGTGGACTAAAACACCTGCCTGTTTAGGCAGATGCAGGGACTAATTTTGATTCCCAGCATGCCATACCAGCTCCACCTCCGGGGCACACTAAGCTGGTGATTGAGACTGGGTGTGGTGGTGTGCACTTGTAATCCCAGCACTTGGGTGGCTGAAAACAGGAGGATCACTACAAATCCTATCTGTGTAGGGAGACTCTGTAGACCCTGTACTAATACCTACTGAAATCAGAACATTGAGCAGTTTAGAAAAGTTGTACAGTATATTAAATATTTAGTCCTTTCAATTAAAATTATAGTCAATTTGCTTTTAAAAAAAAGATCTTTACTGTGTAATGAATTTCTGAATAATAATCTCTAGCATAAAATTCATAAATACATAAAAATGCACAGTTTCTGTTGCAGAATGAAATTCTCAGCATAAAAGTACAATAACTCCACCTAAGAATCTGGGCTTTGTTCAGGGGTTGCTCAAAGCAGCAGCTGCTGACCGAGAGGCCCGTGATGGTCCTGTTGGCTCCATCCATTGAAACTGGAAGGCTGTGAGCAGTCCCCCTCTGAGAACCATAGTCCTAGATGACATTCCCTCCGCCTCATGGCCAGCGTGCTGATCTGCTGAAATGCGGTGATGATTTTAGCAGAGAAATTCTTTAAGCTCCTAAGTTTGGAGAACTTGGGAGTGTAAGCGGACAGGAATTCATTTGTATGCAGCCTTCCTCCAAGTTAATCTTCATTTTCTTTCTGTCCTACTCTCTAAAACCTTTCTCCAGGCCCCCAAGCAAGTCCTCCATGGCCCTTCATACTTAGCGTAATAATATTTTCTACTTATGCCAGTATCTCAGAGGAAGATAATTACAGCAGATGAATTGGACTTGATCACTTATCCTTCATCCTTGTTTCTCTTTCCTTTTTAAAAATAAAATAAAAACAGCAAAAGCCAAATGTTTTAGATAATGATGGAAAGGGAAACCCTGAGATATTTATCATGATGAGTTGTTTAAACTCTAATTTATAATACATAGAGGCTTCTAGAGTAGAAAGAAAATTGTAGTTTGTGTCCCACTTTTAGATACTTGTCCTGAATAATTCTCAAGAGGCTAAAACGGGGGATTCACATTTTACTTTCCTTGATAATTATGTCCTAGGTTACAAGGACATCAGATGTTTTATTTCATAAGGCTGAGCATTTGGGCTTGGGATATTTTGGAAGAAGCAAAGGGAAAGACCAACTAGTTGGGAATGGTAGAACATTTAACTACCAAAATCACAGTTGCTTTACAATTGGTGCACAAAGAATTAAGAAAGCTCTTCGCCTTATTTTCATTTCGTATGAGGTCTCATTTTGTACCACAGTGGGGGATGTTATGTTTTGCACTAATTAAAATATTTACCCAGAAATTGCAAGAGTGAACAAAACCAACTCCAACGAAAGCATTTAGCATAGTGCAGTCAGGCCAGGATTGCCAACCGAGGATGAGGTATTCTCCTGTGCATCTCGCTTGAAATCAGTTGCAGACATTTGTCCCACAGTGCCCGGCACATGCCATGCCCCTCTCTCCCTGGCTGCCAGGATTGGTAGAATGGAGACAAGTGAAGCCGAAATGGGCTTGGATGTTTCTTCAAAGGGCGTGACTACGAACTATTAAACTTTGCCGGGTCCAAGCAACTTCTGTATTACCTGCAAATACTATGTAAACCAGCTTGCAGACAAAATGAGTACAATGGATTAAACAGGCATGGAAATTCTCCTTTGTGAAGCCCAAAATCCTAGATCATAGCTCTTTATGTGCCTTAAGACCACAGTTCAGAAAAGAATACTGGATACACAGCTGACAAGAGTTCTACAAATGCACCAGTGTGGAAGTTAGGGCCACTAGAGGCAATGTGCTTAAGTTAATGCCAGGAACAAAAGCTACAGAGTATTCATTACCAAAGACTAGAAAAATCTAGTAGACTACCAAGCCTGAAAGTAGGTAGAGAGCCTAAACTAGAATATCTGCAGGGAAAAAAATTATGAGTTGAAGGCGAAGCTGACAAGTGCAGTATGAAAACTTTTCCAGATCAAATGAGTGTCGTACATTCAAAAATGTTTCACAGGTTGTCACCGTCCAGATTCTCAGCATCCTAAGGAAGTCCACTTGCACCAAAGAGGGCCACCCAGTTAAATACTACAAAATCTGTGAGGCATAGTCCACAAAAAAGCATCCTCAAATCAAGAAAGGAAATTTATACTGAGAAACAGTGAGGTAGAGACTCTTTATGTACAGATGCTCATAATGTTTAAAGATGGCAGAAGGATTTTTTTTTCTCTGAATGCCTTGAGGGCAGGTTCGGCTGGCTTGAGTTGTGGGGATCGAACCACAGCAACCTGAGCCTGACTGCTTGGTTGAAGCAGCCACTTAAAGAACTGAGCTAAGGGGCAGCCCCCCCCCATAACGTTTAAAGAAATAAAGGAAAAATACAGATTCCATGAAATATGCACAGGAAGCTAAAAAATGAGGATAAAGTAGGTTTTTTTTACAGAGAAACAGTAGATACTCTAAAAATTTTAGTGTCAAGGCCTGTAAGTGAATAAATTCACAAATGAATATATTCTAATAGTTGCTCTCAGTAGCAGTACTGGGATGGAGGAACACATAGAAAGAGAAACTGATGATTTCTAAAGCCTGAATAATAAAAATAACTGCAAGAAAGAGAATGATTTTTAAGCAGCTTCATTTTTTGAGCTAACTCTATAAGCAAATGCCTTATCAACACTGGCCTGTTCTTTTAGATATTTGAGACACACTTTGATAGAAGATGATTCTAAGATATAATTACTTCGTCTTTTAGTTCTCTATTATCATAGGAAAGTATGATTTTTTTTTCTTTAGATTACAGACTCATTTAAAAAGCAGCTTGTAATGAACATTTAATTAGATTGGTTCCAGCTTGCCTAAAAGCTTAAGAAGTTATTAATATGTAATCAAAATTTGGGGGAAAATAGTTTTAAAATAAAAGGAAAGAAAATCTTTCTTATGCTTGTTTTTGGGATCCTGGAAGCTGTCAAGGAATGCAAGGCAAGTGCTAGACCAACAAGCAGAGAGGGAAGGCGGCTTGGCCACAATAAGCAAAATCCTGTGTTTGCAGCAGGCTGAAGGTTCCCAGGGACTCGTGGCAAATTTGTTCAGCTGCTTAGGACTCTTTTTACCCACGCTTCGGAAGAACAACAGTTTGGAGTTTTTAGCATTTTAACAGTCACATAAAGAGCTTACCGATGATAAACAATTAAAAAAAAACTCACACTTTCCACACCAATGGTTGTTCTAGGTAAGTGCTTGCCTTGTGTTCAAAGCATAAAGTTCAAGTACAATGTATCTACTCTTGCTATTTGAAAGATGTATCCAGTACTTGTACAATATCTTATTTAATTCCTACAATTATCATGTACAATAAGAATCACTGTTCCCATCAGAGGAATGAAGTGACTTACCTTGAAGCATACATACTGACAAATGGCACAGGACAATTCTGGTTTGGGAGTGTTTTTTTTTTCCTCCAAACCCATCTTCTTCTTTTAAGGGGAAAGGGAACTACAGAATTCATGTGAATCATAATGCATAGGCAATAGTTATAGCAAGATCAAGAAATGGAAAAAACTGTGAAGAGTAAGTCCTCCTTTGGTTCTTTAAAATTATTAAGTACATGAAAGCTTAAAATTGTACATATTACCAGGGTACTGTGTTACAATATATATATATATCCATTTTATAATGTTTAAATCAGGTGAAGTATCTATGTCTCCTCAAATATTTCTCAATTCTTTACAGTGAAAACATTCAACATTCTTCCTTCTGGCTTTTGGAGGTTATGTAACACCTGCTGGTTATTTCGCCACCCTACTGTGCAGCGGGACACTGGAACTTCTCCCTCCTAGGTGTCATTTAGCGCCCTGGGACTCCTGTGTTTTTTCTATGTCCTACCTGCTCAGAATCCTCTTAGAAAAAGAAGCAAGATGTAACCAAAATAGAAAGTTTTCTAGGGCTCCGAATTAGGGCTCAGATCACGTTTTTCTCTTCAGCTTCTCCCCAAAACAGCGCTCGATCAGCTTCAGGAAGAAAGGATCCCCATAGTCTCCCACTAGTTTGTTCTCAGTCCAAAGTAGCTGCCAATCATCAGAGACCCACCTTTTCCTCTTTCCTAAGAACTCTGTTCCTCTGAGGAAGCTTGTAGTGGCAGCACAGTGGCCCATGTCACCCTCATACCCGGAAATGCCCAGTCATACCGACACCCAACACCTCCCAAAGAGTTATGCAACATCTGTAAACTGACAGGACCAGTTTCCCCATGATGCAGATGTTGGTAAGGGGGGAAAATTTCAACTGGAGACAATCTCCACCCCACCTTAGCTATCTGCCTTAATAATTTTACTATTTGGGAGCCCACATACCTTCTGGAATCCAAGTGCTTTCTTCTGTTTCTCTTCCCTCCCTGTGCCCTCCCACCTATACTCCCCACTCCACTTAGTCAACAGCAAAGACAAAACACCCCAAAACATTCTAGGTGTAGTATAACCTTCAATGCACTAGAGATAATTCTGTCTCTGAGGCTTCTGCCTCCCACAGGTAGATGAACACAACAAAGAAACAGAATGACTGTGGTTTTCTTCATTTAGCATCCTCCATCTCTGCACGTAGTAGGTGTTTGGTGGTCACGTGAGAGACAGATGAATGCCTGCTTTGCACTTCCTCCTCCCTATTCTTGCTCTGTTTCCATCCCTTACCGTTTATCTCCCTCTTTATTCAACTCTTAAATATGAGAATGTTTGTTTCCTGATTAGGCAGGCTGTCTTAGTCATTCTACAAATGCCCAGGTAAAAGTTCTTCTAATTACACTCAACACTATGTCCAGACTTGCAAGTGACATGATTACTAAAATGATAAGTACCTCACTAAAGTTTCCAGGGCTGCTTCCCTCACTGGTTCAGAGCAAAGTTTTGCACATTAAACACTAGTCAGTGTGGATCAGTGGGAACTGAAGAAACTGACCCCTGCTTTGAAGAAGTTGGAGTTCAATACTGCTTGTAAATCGGCCCTCTCAATGTGAACGTTTCTTTATTCTATCCCATTGTGAATACTGATTGTAGTTTCAAACTAGTCAATAAAACTTAACTCCTTCCAAATATAGGATTAATAGAACCTGGTTGTGTACTCTCAAAAGAGAGTCACAAGGGAAAAAGAGAAGAAAGGAAAATCTCTGTCCTGCTCTTGGATTCTAATATATCCAGGATGTTTCTTCTTATTTTGTAGTCCCCTTCTATGCAAGGAGAGCCAAAGATTTATTCCTGCCCCAATTTTCAGCTTCAGCATTCAACCAGGGCCTTTTCAACCTTTGAATTTCTTTAGCTATAAAATTTCTAATTTTTTTTTCCTAAACAAAATCCAGCTGATCAAAACTAAATGTTAGAAGAATGACAAATAGGTAATTAATCCATATTAAGATAGGAATGGCTTTTAGCCCATAAACCTTTTATGAAGTAATTAACTTTTAATGGAGATTATTTATTCAAGGAAATTATACTTCTAAATTGGCATAAATTCAATAACTGTAATAAAATGAGTGGAAAAGTCAATAAGGCATAGGAAAATCCTTCTAAGTGAGAAAGAATGAGCCATATCTCCCTAAAAACTTAGTCCTAGGTTCTATTAAATGAATCCCTGTTTTCATCTTGTTTTCTCAACTACACATTTGCAAAAGCATCAGAGTGGTTCGGGAGAGGGAGGAGTTGTTTGTTTGTTTCGGTTGGGTTTTCTTTTTTTTTTTTTTTGCCTGTTTGTTTCATCTTTGCTTTCTTATCAATTCAAAGGCTCAAGGTGATACAGGGTAGTTACACGAGACTCTCTAAAAGAGAAGGCTGTAAATTAGTTTCATACGCTTCATAGAAAACAGTTGCTCACTGTCCTCTGGCTCATTCCTGAGACCTTTGTCATCCTGGAATGCACCACAGCAAACAGGATGATTCACACTGGCCTCCCTTCAAGGAGCTGACAGACCAGTAAGAAAGACAGATCATGTCATGACGTTTAAAGTGTCAAAATTCGTGTCCAAAGTTCCAAACCAATTCACAGAAGTTGAAAAGGGCTTCCTACAGAATGTGACATGTGACACTAATGTCCCCATGAGAAAAAGGAAGAGAAAAGCATTTGGGCTATGCCCAGTTGGGTGTCAGATGAAAAGATAATGAAACTGTGGGACCAAACACTTGGATGGGAAGAATGACATTACTTACTTGGAGAAGACATGTTCAGTACCCTTCCCCAGATGGGCTTCCTGATAGGCTCAGATGGTGCAAAATGCGTTCATTTTCAAAATCATGTAAGTGAACAATTTGATTTTTGATTATGTAAAATGTGGGAGCGAATATTTGTGCAGGTCTTTGTAGAACTCTTTGCTGAGCATCTGACTCTTCCTAAAATCCTGAAGAACCGCTGCTGTTTCAAGCCCTCCCCAAGGACATGCCCATTAATAATCCTGGCTCCCTCCGTTCATTGGACATCCTGCTACACAGATGGCTAACTTCAGAATTAACTCCAGGTGTGGCCGGTAGGCGTGAAATTGAGAAGTTCAGAGACTTTTGTCAGACACAGTTGAAGTGAAGGAATAAGCAGTTACTGCCTGTAGAAGCTGGAAAGCCATGGAAAGAATGCTGTTTCCCAAAATACTATTTCTTAGTAACTTAAAAGCACCTATTCTTACCATTTAAGGTACGATGCTAAACATTTCTATATCTAAATGAACTGTGAAACAAAATAAGCAGCTTCAGAAGCTGGGAACTCAGCACAGTGGTGCAGTGACTGCCTGGGAAGTATGAGGTCCCGAGTTCAATTCCCAATACTCGGAAGGAAGGAAAAAAAGGAAGGAAAGGAAGGCAGGAAGAAGGGAGGGATTGAGATAGGGAGAGAAGGAGGGAGGAAATGGAGGGAGGGAGGGAAAGAAGAGGGGGAAGGGAAGGAGGGAAGGAAGGAAGGAAGGGGCTTAAATAATAAGATACAGATGTTTCACACTTTTAATATTAAAGATAAATTAATATCACATCTCAAGAATAACTTTCAAGTTCTGAATAACTAACAATTTTCAGTAGTGTTTTTCAATATTTAGATTGTGTTTTTAATCCACTGGAAAGCTAGAATCTACTTACAGAAAAAAATGCAGAAGAACTTAGTTTTCTTCATATAAGATGTCACTTCTTATTATCAGAAAGACATTTATCATTTCCTATAAAAACAGTATGTTCTAAAAATTATATGTATTATGTGTGTGTGGTTTTGCAGTACTTGTGATTGAACCTGGGGCATTGCACAGAGCTACATCCCATGGGGGCCGGGGAGATGGCTCAGTGGAATAAGCACTTCCCTGGCAAGCACAAGGGCCTGAGTTCAATCCCCAGTTCTGCCAAAAAAAAAAGACCTACATCCCGACAGGGTCTCACTAAGATTGTGAGGTTGGACCAGAATTTACAATCATCCAGACCCAGAATGCTGGGATTATAGGTGCACACCACTATACCCACCTTATTATTTTAAACTTTATAAATTCACAATGCTTCTCCTGAAAATGTAATCTAATTTTTCTTTTCTTATCACTAAACTTGAGTTACTGGATTTAAGATTGAAAAATGAGGGCCGGCGAGATAGCTCAGTGGTCTAATGTGCCTGCTTAGGCAAGCTTAGGCAGGTGCAGGGGACCACAGTTTGATCCCTGGCACCACATGCTACACCAGCCTTGCCCTCAGGGTGGGCTGAGCCAACCAAAAAAAAAAAAAAAAAAATTGAAAAGTAAAACCATTCACAAGTGGTAGCCTAGATATTTAACCATTTTATTTTTATTTTTTATTTTTTCCAGGATCATTTGAGTACTGTCTGAGACTAATACAACCCAGGAGACCAAAATGATCCTCAACTCTTCTACTGAAGATGGTATTAAAAGAATCCAGGATGACTGTCCTAAAGCTGGGAGGCACAATTACATATTTGTCATGATCCCCACGTTATACAGTATCATCTTTGTGGTAGGAATATTTGGAAACAGTTTGGTGGTGATTGTCATTTACTTTTATATGAAATTAAAGACTGTGGCCAGTGTTTTTCTTTTGAATTTAGCACTAGCTGATATATGTTTTCTACTCACATTGCCCCTGTGGGCTGTCTACACTGCTATGGAATACCGCTGGCCCTTTGGCAATTACCTGTGTAAGATCGCTTCAGCCAGTGTCAGTTTCAACCTGTATGCCAGTGTGTTTCTCCTCACCTGTCTCAGTATCGATCGATACCTGGCTATTGTTCACCCGATGAAGTCCCGCCTTCGACGCACGATGCTTGTTGCCAAAGTGACCTGTGTCATAATTTGGCTGCTGGCTGGCCTGGCCAGTTTGCCAGCCATCATTCACAGAAATGTATTTTTCATCGAGAATACCAACATCACAGTGTGTGCTTTCCATTACGAGTCTCAAAATTCAACCCTCCCCATAGGCCTGGGCCTGACCAAAAATATACTGGGTTTCCTTTTTCCTTTTTTGATCATCCTTACAAGTTATACCCTTATTTGGAAGGCCCTGAAGAAGGCTTATGAAATTCAGAAGAACAAGCCAAGAAATGATGATATTTTTAAGATAATTATGGCAATTGTTCTGTTCTTTTTCTTTTCCTGGGTTCCCCACCAAATATTCACCTTTCTGGATGTATTGATCCAGCTGGGCATTATACACGACTGTAAAATTTCGGACATTGTGGACACTGCCATGCCCATCACCATTTGCATAGCTTATTTTAACAATTGCCTTAACCCTCTTTTTTATGGCTTTCTGGGGAAAAAATTTAAAAAATATTTTCTCCAGCTCCTGAAGTACATTCCTCCGAAGGCCAAATCCCACTCAACCCTATCAACAAAAATGAGCACACTGTCTTACCGCCCCTCAGATAACATAAGCTCGTCGGCCAAGAAGCCAGTACAATGTTTTGAGGTGGAGTGATGCATTCAAAACCTGTCTGCAAAGGAATCTTATGGAAGAAAGAGCCCAAGAAACATTTCTCTCCAGTGCTTCACTATCAAAGGAGCAATAGTTGTGTTTCAGGAGTTAAGTGGACTGTAGCTACTTTTCTAAAGCTCTGAACAAAAGCTTTGATTTCTCTTTGCAAGAACAACAGCAAAAGCAAAGACACATTTTGCTTTGAAAAGCAATGGCTGCCCAAGAATGCCAGAAACTGGATGACTTTATGGACTTGGAAAACTTTACTGGCAGCGATGGAATCTTCTCATTCTTTTCTTGTTCCGTTATTCTTGATTTCCACGTAAAGGTATTTAGACTATATTAGACCTCCAGACAGACAACAGGAGATCAGAGCTCAGGACTGATCTGCCCAGTTTCCAGTAGGAATAAAGCATTTGTGTCTGGTGAGCTTTTACCAGCTGTGGCCCACTTGTATCCACTTCTTCTCATTTTGTACAGACTCACCAAGAAGGAGTCGCTATGTTTCAGAACCTTTTGTGAAATTCAACATGTCTTCAAGGCTCATACTGCCGAAAGGTTGCCTTAAGGTGGCTTACTTGAAGAATGATGTTACTAATGTTACACATAAGTGAACTATTTACAAAGCTATTACTCTGTCCCGGGTCTGTCTTTCTAGTCATATTTTTATTTTGTATCTCAGAAATGTCTATAGTCTCTGGTAAAAAGATTATATATCATTAAGTATGCTTTACTGTTTTTAAAAAGTATATATTCTGCACATATATGTATACATATATCTATGTCTCCAAACTGTTATCTGATTAAAATCTGGCAGTTGTATTTACCTTGCAATAAAATAACTTTATTGTTGTGTATCTAATCTTCATTACTTAAAAAAGATGATTTATTTGAATCAAATATGTGTATGAATATTTTTCATTTAAAGCTTAATAAAACTGATAATTTAGTTATAGATGTTTGTGTCCTATTTTTGAAAAGATAAAGAGGAAAGCATTGCATGGAATACAAATATCATTTAAAAGTTTCTCATATAAAGCACAATTTTCCTCCCTTATAACTGTAAAATAATGTTACTTCACTCATATTTTTAAGTATTTCTAATTATGTGTAATTGTAGGAAATTTAAAAGATAGAGAAAAGTATAAAAAGTCAAAGTTATGTTTAGCTCTCCAAGTCTAAATTGATCATGACAGCATTCTAGTTCATTTCCTCCTACTTTTGTATCCATTCTGCACAGGCATATATGTAAGTTACGACATTGATGCATCACACAGATAGACTTTGGTATACAGACTTTCCACTTAGCATCATAGTATCATCATTTCCTACCACACTAAGTGGTTTTCTAAAACATTTTAATATCTGTACAATATTACAAAATTCAGACATACCTTGATGCACTTAGCTAGTCACCAAATTAGAACACTTAAATTTTTTTTAGTATCATAAAAGTGAATTCCAGGAAATTCCAGATATTTTCTTTGAAGGATGGAATCCCTAGGGCAGAGAACAAAGTAAATCAGGAGAAAGTGAGCTGGAAGACTGCACAGACAGAAGGCTGCCTTGCGCGCTGGGGTGCAGACCCCACGGGAGTGCCGTGTGCAGACGGACCCTGCTGTTTCCTGAGTTATTGTAATAAATACGCTTTTGCACCATGAAATCATAGGAAAAGAAATGAGGACCCCATACCACCTCAGGGCTAAAATACATAGCCTCATGCTGTCTGGTCTCCCAGACAGACAAGGACCTGGGTGCTCTCCACATGTCACAAGGCCAGCAGTCACAGCATCCACCCTGGCCAGGGCCGTGGCAGAGCCTACGTTCATTAAGCCAACCCATCTGCCTTGAGAAATGATGGAACTGAGGTTTAAAAAAAAATAAATATCCACCATCAGAAAAAGTCAATATTAGAAACCCAACTCTTTTTTTTTTAATAAAGATTTAGCTTTTTTTCATGTAGCATACGAGAGAATTTAGCTTTCATAATATTTGTTTCTAAGTCGCTCATACACAAGCTCTAGCTAAATAAACCTCTAAGAATGTAAAGACCTTGAGATTTGCCCTTCAAGCAATGTAATAGGAAAATATTTATCTGTATGCATAAGAGATGTAAATTTGATGAATAAATGATGTTAATTCTGAAACTATTAAGAGCGAGTTTGCTATTATGATTGCTTTGCTTCAAGGGTCCAAATGATGATGAGGCATCTACGGCCCCAGGCCCTGACATATAAAACCTCTTGTGAAAAACTAAACAAGATGACTAATAGAGAGTTTGGCTGAACCCCCCATGAATTGGGATGCATCTCATGGAACTTTTTTTCCAAGCCCAATGAAGTTCTGCCAGGCCATATGGGCACATATACTTGCTAAATGATAATTTCCCACAAATAAACAAATAAGCCTCAGTCCTCTAGCATGCAGGCAGCTAGAGAGCTGACTCGCATCTGCAATAAGAAGCAGCCCTGGGAGGGTTGCGCACTGAGAGGCGAGCAACCTGGGTGCAGGCTGCTGCGCAAACCTGCTGTGAGTCAGTCAGCTCGCTGTGACATAAGAACCCGCAGATGGGTGCTCCTTTTGACTGGTAGCCTCCTCCTAGCCAGTGTTGTTACAGAAAAGCTTCCAGGGAGTATGCAAGCAGTTCTCTAAACAAGCAACAGCTATTCTCATTCATTCGGCTACAAAATGGGTAATAGAGTTAAAGAACCTTTCCATCGATACTACCTTTACAGCTACCCCTTGAGTTCTCTTATCCACTCTACTTTCAGAAATGTGCCCCATCTCCTTTTGTGTGCATAGTCTTAGAGAAGAATCTGGATAGAGCGCCTCAGGCCCCAGCTGCCAGCACAGCCACAGAAGATGTGAGAAGACCCGACTACATCAGCCTCTCAGGCCCATATGGTCATAAAAGGTGAAGTATATGGCCTGACTGAACCTGATCGTAGTATCATAGTAAACCTTTGAATTTTTCTAGGAGCAACCTGAAAAATATCCTTTCTTTTTCCTATGGAGTCCAGCTGGATGTGAGAAGCTGTCACTCTAACAGAAGAGCTGGGAGTTTCCAGAAATTCTCAAAAACAGGAAAAAAAAAAAAAAATGCAGCCAAAGTGGTTAAAAAGGTGGACGAATAAATGAGGGGAACCAAGGCTTTGTGACATAGTGGAAATTGACTTCCTATGTGGACAACCAGAGTGCCCTCTAGGCCTCTCTTTCTCTCCAAGCTAGACTTCGCTTTCTTTTGCAAGCCAATTGAGGATGGCTTTCCTGTCAACACTGCCCACTACAATCTAATTTTCTGTGAAATTATGATAGCTGTTATTCATCAAGTCCTTGCTATAGAATAAGGATAGAATTCTTTGCTCATATGCATTATATTATTTAATCCACATAACTATCCCTGTCAGTTCTGCTGTTACAACAATGAGACACAGAAAGAAGCTTAGAAATTTTGCATAATTGGTCCAGAGTAATGTGACTGGGTAATCATGGAGTTCAAATTTGAAGCCAGGCATTTTGGACTCCAGAATCTTCCTTCATATTCTTTAAATGATGTTGCTCTTCTTTTCACTCTTCCAAAAAAATAAAAAATGCAAACTATGATGGTGTAATGTATTTCTAAAATATTGTCTGTCTATGCCTATTTGTTCAAAATTAATACAATATTTTACTTACTTTAGACTTACTGGATCCCAAACTAGAATTAAAATAGTTTTTGTCCACAAAAATTGGACTCACTGATGGAAAACATTAATTGTCCTTACACAGTGTAGCACTAAATTTTACGTTTATTATAATTTAATTTTGATGAGTCCATATTGGGTCTAGCAAGTAAACAGGCTACAACTCCTGAGTGTCTCTTCAGCCCTTTCTGAAGCCAAAAATTTAGACACTGTTTATTAAATGGGGGAGAGAAGGAAATTCATAAATTAATTTTATGTCAAATTTTTCCTTCTCAAAGCCTAATGGAGTGATATTTTTAAAAATATTATAGAGGGGCCGGCGAGATAGCTCAGTGGACTAAAGCACCTGATTAGGCAAGCTTAGGCAAGTACAGGGACCTCAGTTCAAACCCTGGCACCACTTGCCACACCAGTCTCACCCCCAGGCAGGCTAAGCTGGCCAGAGTCCAGGCATTGTGGCACACACCTGTAATCCCAGCTCTGGGGAGGCTGAAAGCAGGAGGGTCACCACAAGTCTAAGCTGCATAGTGACACTCTGCGACAACCACATACATTATATATATATATATATATATATATATATATATATATATTCGAGATGATATTTTATTCTGTGAAAGATTTCCTTTTAAAGTATATGGTTTGGATTTAGGTGAGGAAAACACTTAAAGTAATGAAAACAAGTGTGATTTACATCGCCTGTGCATGGAGATCTGAAGGATAAAATGGTAAGACCAAAGCCATGAGTCCTAGGAACAGTTCTAGCAGCATCATTGAAACCACTTCAAAATAGATGATATTCATGACAGTACAAGGTTTTTTTTTAAAGAGTCACAACAGAACAGGCAAAACACACTCACTTTTGCACCTTTTGCTTCTAGTTATACAGGAGACAAAAAGGAGCAATTGCTCATGAAACTTTTAAAAACAAGACAATTTGACCACAGGCTGAGAGAATGACCATGACATGATAAAAATCAAAGCCCAAGATGAATCAGAAAATAGTGACACAGCCTACTAGGAGGGAGATTTAGGCACAGAAATGGACCTATAATTTTTGTTAAAAAATGTGCCCCTCTGTGGATACTTGGCAATCACAATTTGAGTAAGGATGTTGATCATCACAACTTGAGTAAGGATGTTATTGGCCTCCAAGGTATAGAGGTCAAGAGGCACAACAACCTACACAACAAGGAGCTATGCTGTCCAAAGCATCAATAGTGCCCAGGTTAAAAATTCATAAGGGAGGGAAATAAGGAAAAATAATCACTTAAAGAATAAGTTAAACAGTGCATTGTGCAGCACAGTGCATGTGTTCAGTAATAAAGTGCTAATCCTGGGCAACAAAGGAAAGGCACAAGGCAGTCTAATCCCTGACTTGAAATTATACTACAAAGCTACTGTGATAAAATCACCATGATACTGGCAGAAAAACAGAGCTAAGGATCAGTGGAACACATTAGAAGATACAGATACAACTACAGACATATGCAGCCACCTTATCTTTGACAGAAAGAAGAAAAGGAAAAAGATATATACTGTTGATTTCTGGCAGTCTATTAAAAGGAAAAGTTAGCGAATACTTTATTTTTTTCTTCTCCTTTTTAACTCCTTATAATTTTTAACCAATTTTGCATGTTTATATCTGCTCATCTAAACAAGTAATTTGAAGACCACATTATGCAATATCACAACCATTATTAAATTTCTATTATTTTGTTTAGTGAAATTTTATATTGTTTCTGTTGATTTTTTACTATTTTTATTCTCTTTAAAAAATCTATTTTTGAAAAGTAATAAAGTTCTGTCTTCTGAAATTTATAGCCCACAAAGAGCTCCTTCAAGCTCTTTTTTCCTGAATTCCACATCAGCCTCTTAAGTTGCATTGCACATGAACTTCATCCAAATACACTACTTTATGGGGAAACATTGTTACAAAAAGAAAAAGCGGTGTCATTGCTTGGACTAAGTAGGCAAAGGTATTAGATTTGTGCAAAAGATATATTTTAAAGTCACTCGTGAACATTAGG